TTATAGTATGCTGTGATGATGTGTTTTGTGTGTGTGCTGCCTCCAGCCAAGTACCGGCAGCGATCGCTGCTGGGAAGGGCCCGCACTTATGATTTATAGTACGCCGTGATAATGTGTTCTGTGTGTGTGCTGCCTCCAACCAAGTACTGGCAGCGATCGCTGCCGGGAAGGGCCCGCACTTACGATTTATAGTATGCCGTGATGATGTGTCCTGTGTGTGTGCTGCTACGGCCGAGTACCGGCACCGATCACTGCCGGGAAGGGCCTGAGCTAAGTATTAATAATTTGCCAATCGAGTCAATTGAAGAATGGAAAATAGTTGAATTGCATGTCGGGCGGCACTTTGTCAAGGCACATCCAGCGTTCCTGGGCGTCATGACCACGCCTCTATTTGTGACAAGCTTCCAGAATCTCAAAGTCCGTGACGGATGGCAACGGAATGCCAGGAAAGGCAACGGAAAAAAAACATCTTTACAGAAATTGGTGGCTGCAAACACCCCCTTGACGGATAGCTCCAGAGCCAAAAAACTGGAAGCTGACGTGGCATGAACGGCTACAGAAAACCGGCCCCGGCAAAACAACAGAAAAGTGACGGACGGATTTTTTGTCTTTAAAAAAAATACAGAAGTAAAATAACAGAAAAAAATCTGAGCGGCCACGTCTAGTGACGAGCCGTTGAGTGGACGGAATCAGTGCCCAACGAGAGTGCACGTGGGTCAGTCGGTCAATGAGGCAGGAGACAAGCTCGACGATGAGCTGTGGGTATGTGCAGCGGTGCATAACCCAAGAGGCAATCGACCCGGAGGGTCAGGAGGCAAAGGCGCACAGAAATGAACGTGCTTGTTACAAATTCGTTCTCCTTCGACCACGTTCAGCCTCCACACGTTCACAGCACGACTGGTCTCAGCAGAACACCCGCTGTTCAGACCGCTAGGACCAAGAACGGTCGGGTGGGGGGCGGAGAGAGAGAGGAGGGAGCACTCACACCCCAAACAGCCCCTCCTAAATACCCCCTCCAGCTCCATCATCACTACACTTCAACGGCCCTTGGACATTCCAACATACCACCTGATAAAAAAGGCCCTAGTACCCCTTGCACAAATAGTCCATCAACCCAGAACTTCCCACTGACCCTCACGCTCCTTCCCACTAATGTACCACAACTTGTACTGCCCTATCCACAGAATTTCATAGTGCCGTTCGGGCAGTACTTTCATTGGCCTCCAACTGGCCCTATGGCCCCTACGCATTCATAGGGAACAGCGGCAGGTCACGGGGCGCAGAGGCCTTGGGGGCACAGAATGCGGGGATGTGCCAAACGTGTACGACAAAATACAATACACGAATTGCCAAAAAGGCAATCGCCCGTACAGTCGCTAAACAACAAAGTATTGTTAGCACCCGCACACAATGTCCCATCACGCCTCAATGGACCCCTATACCCTGCCAGTACCTGTCCTGTCAAGGTCCTAGGACCTTTTGAAATAGTTCAGGTCCATTGAAGGACAACCCCTACGGTCCATGGTCTCCTCAAAAGGGGCCAGAATTTGGCCTTCTTTCTCTGCGAAAGTCACCCAAAGGCTCCCTACGAACAGGCCAGCCTTTTTCCAAGGGTGCTTTCCATTGGGCCTGTACATACTACGGTCCCTTCCTTTCCGTCTGATGTACCCATAGCCTCAATTCCATATATTAGAAATGTGTGACTCAAAACTGTATTGCCTCCCGTCAATCTAAGTGTCTAACCAGATTAGTTCCTGCCCTTTTCCTTGGCAAAATGACAGTGCAGCCGCAGCTGCCCGTGCTGCCCATCAACTGGTCTCAAAATGACCCAGATTATACAGATTGGGCCGGTTCTGATTATCACAATCGCAGATTCACAGAATAGGGGACATCTAAGCCTAGATTGCTTTGAGTCAACCTTATTGGAATGTAGCTGACTGTGCACACGTTTTTCCTTGAGTACATAGCAGTGCTAGAACTATCAAAATCAGCCATCTTTGTATGTTTCAAGGGAAAACTGGCTGGCTACATCCGTACTCTTTCCCACCACCTTTTTACTCGATTACAATGATGGCCATTAAATTGAATAGATTGAGCTGTAATCGAACATGTTTACGTGCTTATATACTTACGTACATGCTGCACGCTTGCATGCCTTGCGAAGGGCATCACGGCTGCTGTTCCTGCTGTCAAATGCACTGAAATGCCAGGATACATCCCAAGCAAACACGATCGCACACAACAGACTCCACAGCCACAGGCCGCTGTGCTTTTGTCCTTCTCCTTGATATCTGCTTATGCACAACAGCACCGCCATTGCAGTGAACTGTTTCGCCGTTGCAGAGCCGGTAACACGCAACCCTTAACCCAGTCGCTTGCCGTTGGAGCCGTGCAGCTGTATGGGGTGATGCAAATCCCAGATTACTGGATAATGCACAGACAACAGCGCCTCCTCAGGTGTAGCGGTGACCTCTTCCTGCAGCCAGGATCCGGCAAAGTTCGTTCTGTGGCGGTAGTCACAGACGCACACAGGCGATCGTCACCGTTGCCGAGTGTAATTCCCGCCGCCTGCTTGCGGTCGACGGCACCACCCGAGGCATCCACCCGGCGACAGTGCCAACAGACAGCTCTCAGGTGCACCATTGTCGATGGCAATAGGTCGTGGCCGAACTCGTCGCGACGATCGCGATCAGGATCGCACAACCGGTGGCCCGCCACCGCCCTCTCCTGGCGGATGCGCAGAAGTGCCAAAACCTCCGAAACGCCCTGCGCCACCTCCACGCTGTTTGCATCCGCACCACTTCCTTGACGCCCACCAGGCCCGCCTTGACGGGGACGGCAAGGGGCTGTGTCGCGCTTGCTCACGATCGGTCCCCAGCGTCCCTTGATCCCCCAAGGAAGGCGCAGGGCGCTCACACGAGCCCATTGCGCCACGTCCACCGGCCTGGAACAGAGCGAGCGCCGGCCTCGCTCCTGCGCTGGGCACCGGGTATGGCAGCGCCTGTGCGGGAGGCTGGGGCGCGGTTGGCACAGGGAGTCGTCAGTGGCATTCATTCAACCACAACCAAGTAGGTGCGCGGCAAGGTAGTACAAAGCAGATGCAAACTAGGTAGTTGTTGCCGGCGAGATGGGTGCTGACGCCAGACCCAGTGCGTGCTTAAATCCGGCCGCGCCCTGCTGGCTGCCATTCCGCAGGCCACGGCCCCCGCGAGCGACCCGGACGCCCCCTCCCAGCCCCCGGCCTCCGAGGCCCCACCGGTCCTCAGGCTGGCAGACATGCGGCCGCGACGCCTCGTCTCTCTGCTCCTGGCCCTGGCGCTGGCCGCCTGCGCGCATGCGAAGGTGTACTTCAAGGAGACCTTCGACGGTGAGTTCGGCGGGCGCGCCCCGCCCACTCCGTCCCCAGTCACCCGCCACAGGGCACCAAGGAACTGTGTTGGCTTCCGATCATCTGCGCTCTCCGTCCTCGTTCTGTAATCCAGACAAGACCGTCCTTTCTGCGTCCCGATCTCAAGTCCGCCTTGCGCCAATCTTCGCCTGGAGCGGTGTATTTTGGTAAACTCTTGTCGCGTCGCGATGCCGCGCAGACTCATGGACGGAGCGCTGGACCAAGTCGAAGTGGAAGGAGGGGGAGGAGTCCGAGGGCGACTGGGCACACACTGCGGGCAAGTGGTACGGCGACGAGAAGATGGACAAGGGGATACAGACGACCCCCGACGCGCGGTTCTACGCGATCTGGGCGGAGATGCCCGAGGCCTTCGACAACAAAGACAGCGACCTGGTCCTGCAGGTGGGGCGGCCAGTCCGCCGGCGGCCGCCCCGCGGCCGCGCGCCGAACGGCAGTTTCGCTGGTCCTGCGCCGAGCGCAGTGGGACGCAACTCACTATCCTCGCGCGATTGCCGATTCCGTGGTTCGTATTTCTTTGCCGAATCTGAACGGATCGCCCGGCAGCGCTTCCCGGAACGTTACTCGGGAGGCGGCTTCCGAGGACGTGCGCCTGTCCTGCGGCTGCCGTTTGTGTGTGCGTGCGTGGGTTGGGTGGTTGGAGGCGCAAGGCGGCATTCCGAGTTGGGCGGTTTCAATGAACGGAGAGTTTTCGTGGGGCCGGGAATTGCGGTGCGTGGAGGGGGGGTTGGGGCAGGGAGAGGGGCCGCCGAGGGGCGTGCGCGGCGGCGCGGCGTCGGGAGGGAAGCGTCGGCCGCGGCGCGAAGGTCTGCGAAGCCTCTGGAAGGACACGTGTCCCCATGTGGAGAGGCGCTTATCGCCAGAATCTGGCAATCGTCAAGGATGCGCCCGCCACGCGGCGCTCGTGATCCGGCGCGCCTGGCGGCGATCGTGCCGCGGTGCCTGAGGCGCGCTGATCCGCCGCGTCCTTGATTCTGCAGTTCTCCGCGAAGCATGAGCAGAAGATCGACTGTGGAGGTGGCTACATCAAGCTTATTCCAGAGTCAAGGTGACTGTTGGTGGCTGCGCCGCGGGTTAGAAGGTTATAGATATGCGCAGTTCTGTTGCCCGTTTATGCGATCTGCAAGACACCTCCCAAGCACACACACAGCGAAGGAGTTTCTGATTATGGAGTTCCAGATGTTTGTTCTTTTTTGGCCACCGTCTGTGATCTGTGTAGCTACAAGGGGCAGAGGTTCTGCGTTTGCTGCAGTCTGGTACCTTGCCTTGTTCCCCGTCCCTGGGAGCTGAGCACTTGAAGGCGCACTGCCACACTTGCAGTCTGCATGGGATGAATCTTGGCAGCTGTGACCGTATTGCAGACAGGCATTGCTTGACACCAGATATCCCATAAAGGAAAATTCGCTCGTTTGGTTGGAACTGCAGTTTGATGCAAGTCTCATTGTCAGTATTGTGCCTGCCTACTTGTCCCGCTTGAGCTGCACTGTGCCATTTAATGTCCAACAGGGGCACTGCAGGGGTAAGAATTGAAATGCGTCAGTACATGCTAGAAAAGAGCTCGCTCTATTCACAGCAAAGCATTGTGCTTAAGTGGATACTTGAATCGAAGCAGAGCAGCCCTGGCCACACAGCCAGATAATGTTTGCTTCGTTCCTCCAGGATTCATGCTGTTGGGTGGCTTTGACCATCGACTTTGCAGCTGCTGGATTTGAAGAATGTTTGTGTGTGGCCCTGCAGCAAGGATCAGATGGAGACATTTGGGGGAGACACCCCGTATGCCATAATGTTTGGTCCAGACATTTGCGGCTACTCAACAAAGAAAGTCCATGTGATCTTGCCCTACAAGGGGAAGAATCACCTGGTGAAAGAGGATATTAAATGCAAGACAGATGAACTGACACATGTTTACACGCTGGTCATTCATCCCAACAACACATACCAGGTATCTGCCCAGCATCTCAAATTGGTTGACTGTGTTGGGACTTCTTCATCCCTAATGCTAGCTCTTGTCAAGCGTTTGTTCCTCAAGCTCGTGTGAGGCAAAGTGCATGTGGTTTTGGCCAGTTATCCCAACAGCAGATACCAGGCATCTTCCCAGCATCTGCTTCTTTTCCTCACTTTTCGAGCTGATGCTCACCCGCACATGGTGTTGATTCCTGTGGATTCAGACCTCTGTTCCTCAGGTGTGTGTAAGCCAGAGCATGTTTGGTTGCCGGCACAGGTGTATATCGATCTGAAGGAAGAGAAGACAGGCTCATTGTATGAGGACTGGGACATGCTTCCCCCTGCAAAAATCAAGGTTTGGTCAGGCACAGGATTTGCATTGTTGAGTCCAACATTGATCTGCAGTGATGATTGACGTATTACTATTATCCTCACCAGCTGTTCAAGTTGCCGATTGTGCAGAATGTTACAAGGGTCTCATATTTGGTTTGAAGTCTCTCCTTCCACACTCTATCTCACCAGAAATCTTAACTTGGGCCCCCAATGCCCGTTGGCAACTGTTGTTGAAAAGAAAATCGCCATACCTTTGGGGACATAGGACGCAAGGTGGGAGAACCCGGCTCTGGCACTGCCAAGGTGATGACAGACAATGTTGCATCCACAGCATTTTCTTTCAAAACTCTCTGCTCGGCCTTCATCCCCACCAAAAAAAGCAGAAGAGGTTGTGCGGTTGCGGATTTCCATGTTCTGCATCGCTTGGTCGCGTTTCATGGCAGTTTTATACTCTCGCTTGGTGTCTGATCCTTCCAATGCTTTGGGGTGAGTGAGGAGTCATGGGTCATGTGTGCCTTTTGGCTGCAGGACCCAGACGCAAAGAAACCCGACGATTGGGACGAGAGGCCGAAAATCGACGACCCAGAGGATGTGAAGCCGGAGGGTTATGACGACATACCCAAAACCATCGTGGATCCAGATGCCACACAGCCCGATGACTGGGATGAGGAGGACGACGGAAAATGGGAGCCTCCAACCATCCCCAACCCGGAGTACAAAGGGGAGTGGAAGCCCAAGAGGATTGACAACCCTGACTACAAAGGCAAGTGGGTCCCTCCGGATATCGACAACCCGGAATACGTGCACGACCCTGAACTTTACCACATGGCGCCATTGAAGTACCTGGGGTTTGAGCTGTGGCAAGTCAAGGCAGGGACGATCTTTGATAACATCGTTGTTGCGGACGACTTCGAGGAAGCGAAGGCGATAGCTGAGGAGACATGGGGGAAGACAAAGGATGGCGAGAAGGAGATGTATGACAAGGTGAGGGGGCGTGCGTCTACATTGATTTGATGGTGCATGGAATAACGGTTCGCTGGCCATTCTGCTGGTGGGCGATGTTGGGTGCTGTTGTCAAGCACCACAAGTGTTGGAACCGGACGAGTTTCTTGCTCCTGTTGAAGTCACCCTGTTTGTGGCCTTGTCGAAAAGTGTCTTGTTTGTTTCTGAGAAGGGGCAAGTTGTTTCGGTTTATCTGTCTTCTGTGCCAACGCACGCAATCAGTGCTGCTGGCGACTGATGGAGCAATTTGCTTGTGGTGGTTTCGTGCGCTGGCAGCCTGTCATAGGATCGTCAGGTTGTGGGCGGTGCTTTGGTTGATGTGTCTCAGTGCAGGCGTTGACGATTGGTGACTGTTGAACAGGCGCAGGAGGAGAAGAAGGCGAAAGAGGAGGAGGAGAGGAAACGGCGAGAAGAGGAGCGCAAAGCGCGAGGGGAGGACGATGACGAGGAGGAGGAAGACTACGAACCAATACACGAGGATGACGATGATTACATGGAAACTGGAAAAGATGAACTATGAGAAACATTCAGGGGACCTGGCAGAGCAGATGGCGTTGGGGGGTTGTGGGCTGCACCTGCGAGAATTCTGGGGACTGAGCTGGAGAATGTTGTCCAGCCTGCGGTATGGACGCTGGTTTGCTTGGTGGTGATTCCTTCAACGCATACATTGGCTGGCAAGATGTTGGCTCCTTTCGCCAGGGGGGCTTAAGAATTGGGAAATTTGTCCATCATCTTGCCTGGTCGTTGTGCTCCACATAGGCAGCTGTGAAGAGCAACAAATCGGAGAGGGACACATATCCTTACAATGGTGCACGTCTGGATTGGGTTCAACTGAATTCTCCACATCTGGATCCGGATGTCCTACAAACTGTGTGCCAGATTCTAGGTGTGACCGAGCCTTCCCAGAAACAGGGCTTAACGACCCATCAACAGACGATGCCAGGCACACTTTCAGCTGCTTGTCCCCAGCATATTGACATGGCTCTGGCAGTTTACACAATGCAGATGCGCAGGGAGATCATGGCCATTGGAATGGAATGGAATCATGGGCATGCAGCATGATCGTCTGCTCGGCATCATCTGCATTGGTTTATCCTTCGCGGATATAGCGGTCCACCATGTTGAAATGCGAAAAAAAATGCGAAGAGATGGCTGCAGGAGCGCTGACTATTGTTGCTTCCTTCCAAAGTATTTCGTCACATTAGAGATTCCAGGTGCCCCTCCTGCCCCACAGAAGGAAGAGCCCTGCGCCAGCTAACAAGCGCGCTGAGGGCCATACAATTCTCGAAAGTGTGGGTGGTGCTTTTTTGTTCACGCTGTCCGTCACTTCCATATCGTTCTGAAAATTGGCAGCTGGCCAATATATCTGTCATCCAGAGGGGCGAGAGTTCCGTACAATGTGTCAGCACATAATGACAGACAACAACCGCGTATCATTTGAGCCGCCAAGCTGCAAAGGCCTGCTGGAAGCATTGTGCTGCGTGGATCTGTGCTGCGCAGACGCTCTGCAGACAGAACTTCATGACCAAATAGTGGAGCGAATGCCATGGTTTCCCATGGGTCGAAGCACGCAAGGTAAGGCAATTCCACATGCTGTGAGCATCTCGAATTACAAACCCAGGTACCTAGCTTGACTCCACACAACAAGGACAATCGAACGTCTACATTGTCAACGCGATTTGAGCGAAGTACAGGCGACGATTGACCTCAGCCTTGCATGATTCTGGGGATGGTTCGTCAGTGCCGAAAATTCAGTAAAGAAGATCTACACACAACCAGGATATCGCATCAGCCCACCCTCAGCCAGGACGCGCCACCACTCTTGGCTTGTGTCCCACGGCGCACAGACAAGAGCCTGCCACAGTTGGTGCGAGGCCAAGTGCACATGGCCATTCACGTTGAAAACAGGCACCAGACCCAACTTCCCAGACACCCCATTTCCAGCTTATTCTGGGGGCTGCTAGTCAGCCACATGGGCCCAGCCGGTGCGGTTTCCAACTCCGTTGCTTCAGGTGGTCTTGGTACAAGTCACCAACACCCCTGGGCTATGCGAAACATTGGCAGCAGCTGCACATCAGTATTGCCAACTATTTTCCAGCACCACCAAGACATCCCCAAGTTCTTGTCCATGAGTAGCTTGACAGCAGCACCTTACAAACCTCACGAGACCCATCCCTGAGGCAGCCTTATTCTGAGACACAGGTCATTGAAGGGCCTCCATGAAACAAGTCACAGCCTTCCCTGCGAATTGATCTGCGGCGTGTCAACTTCAGCCCTGCCGTCACAAGAACCAAAGCCTTACTAGAGAACAGAACACACAGACCAGCGGCCTGCAATCAGGAGCCCCAAAGCCAAAGCAAAGTAAAACGCCCGAAGTCAAATACCATTTGACGAACGAATCCCCAATGAGCTGGAGTTCCAAGCTAGCTGACAACCAACAAAGCGATCAACTACGTGCAAACCGTGCTACCTAAGTGCCCTCCGCACCCCAGTGCCTATACTACACTGCCTAAGTTCCATCCACTTCCCAGTGCCTGCCCCACCTGTCACCCCAGGGCAAGTACGGCACAGATTGTACCGTCAGCCACCACCGTCGCGCATTCAACGCAGGAGGGATGCCTCTGATTCAAGGTGGCTCTCGGAGATTCCAACGCTACCACCCACAAGTCCCTCAAAATGTACAGATTATTGCACCTGTCAACCGCAGCATCCTCATCACTTGACGAAGCCAAGCTCTCCATCCATCAGAAACTCCCCCATTTCCCAGCCCCCTCGATGATCACCTGCCGGGGGCGGCACTGCAGTCAGCATGCCCCCCAGCTGTTCCCTCTTGCCCTTGCTCCTCCCATCCCACACCGCTGGAATCTACCTCCCTGCAGAACTCCGCCCCAACCAGCTGATTGGGCACCGTCGCAAGCACCTCGCCAACATCCACGGCGTCTGTACCTCCTCTCCCGCTCGCCGCCAACCCCCAAAGCCCATCCCCCGGCCCCGGGCGCGCTCGTCTCCTACCCTCAGCGCTGGCCCCCAAAGATCCTCAAATCCGCCCATCCTCGATCGCCATCGCCAGCCCGGTCGCCACCCGCTGCTCCGCCGCCTGCCCGCGCGGGCTGGCGCAGGACGACCAAGATCCGGCAGACAGCTCCACGGACTCCACCTCCACGGCGTCCAAATCCTCCAGCGACGCCTGGCCCGGGCTCCCCTCAGACTCCCTGCACGGCCCCGGCTCTCCCTCCCCCCCCCGGGCGCCTCTACCGGATCCAAAGGCCGCCAAATCTTCCCCCTTTGCATCCATCTCGGCATCCCCCTCCCCCTCCAGCGCCCCTCGGACGCATCGTTTCAGAGCCCGGGCAGCATCGTCCAGCCCCTCCTTCATAGGCTCGTCGATCGATGGTGGCATCTTGGCGTCCAGGCTCCTCCGCGCGCCGCGCCGCTCCACGCGGCTGATGAGCTCATCGACCCTGGCGCTGGGCACGTAGGCCGCCTTGAACGACGGTGTCTTGTGCCAGGCCTTGCCGGAGAGCACCTTCTTCAGGGGGGTCCAAGAGCGCGGGCCGCGTGCGTGGCGCGCGGCCACCGCCGCCGTCAGCGACCGGCTGTACTCCTCGGCCTTGTCGCGCTGCAGGCGGTCAATCCGGTGGGAGATGAGGCACTTGGCACAGAAGAACTGCCCGTCCTGGACCAGCCACAGGCGGCGGTCCTTGGGGGACAGCGACCGCCAGGGCCCTGTGCCCACCTTCTCGCACAGGCTGCACACTGGCACGCGGGAGCCGTTGATCAGCGGGCGGCACAGGGCGCTGCCCATGGGCGCTCCAGGCTGGGCGCTGGGGTGGCCACGCGGCGACGCACGCGCGGAGAGGGGCGCAGGGGGTGGTCACAACATGGGAGGGAGGGGGGCGGGGCGGCGGTGTGTGTGTGCGCTGCGGCCCCGTCGCCGTCGGCCTGACCGTGCCGCAAGTGCGCCGTGGTTGCACTTCCCAGCGCCCGGCTGAGAATACATTGTCCCTTTTCGAGGGAGTGCGCGTCCCCGTGGGCGGTTGGATGGTCACATGGACCGCCCTGGGGCCACGTCGGCCGCGGTGGGAACACCACCAATGAGCGAAAGCTCCCAGCAAATTCTGCTGAACGCTGTCATGTTGAGGGAAATGCCGTTGATGTAATTCAAACGGCTCCCTTTGGAGTGCACACGGGAAGCGCGAATCCACGATCGCCGATGCTTCAACGGGTTGGCACACGGCCAGACGCAAGGCCACGCCACACGCAAAACGCCCAGGGCTGACATATTTGTTCACCCTTCTCACAGCGAAGAGCCTTGCCGACGGTGGCAACGACCCCCGCAACCGAACCGTTCGAATCTTCTTGCACCCACAGAACTTTCCTTTTCATGTGGCAAGGATCATCATCCATCATCATCCATCCAGACTGCCTTGTAAACTATGTTCTCGAAGTGCATACAAGTCGCACACCATTACGCATAAGTGATCCACCCAGTGAAATGGTGGTCATTATGCGGTGTTGCGAACAGTCACCAATTTGGTGGGGGCCGCCAGCTGATTCCGCGACAGGGCTTGGTGCGTGCGTGCGCCCCGTTGCGCTGTTGTTAAAGTACATGCCCCTTAGTGATCGCCCCGAAGGACCCATAGATCACAGGCTGAACTTAATCTTTGCTCTATTAAAACTCGCGTTGCTTTGAGAGTTCGAGATCACCATATTGAATTGAACAAATAACCCATTGCTTAAATTGATGATCAATCATAATCAACATCGTCAAGAAATCAATCTTGATTGAACAACATCACATCACCTTCATATGCTCAGTCCACATGCATCACCCTTTCAACCCAACATATCCAACCATCGCACATGACTTAAGATGTCCACACAACACTTGCTATCACTTTTCCACCTCTTGCCAAATGCAATGCTGCCCTTTGCACCACACCTTGCTTTGAATCTAAAGATCCATCATTCAACAATTCAATTTTGATCCCTTTGATCCTCTTTATCCACGCTGGATCACTTCAGAATATTCTCCAAATCCACCAGATGAATCTCCACCCTCGCCTGAACACATTTGCTCATGGGGCCCCAGTCCGAATTCGGACTCCTTCTTGGTGCTCCAGTACTTAAGGTCTTCTAGGAGAGGGGCCCTATTGGGCCCCCGGGCCCAAGAACGAGGGTGTGCGGGCGGTTGGCACTATTGTCAAATGGACCAGCGGCCCCTCCTTTTATCCTCTGCCACTGCCCCATAACATCACTCTCTAACACTATCACAACATCCCTTACACCATAACATCCTGTTACGAATAGGATGTGGGTGTGGGGTTCCTGCCCTCTTTGAGCCGCGGACCCGCCTCGCCGGGCACCTAGGTCCTTACAGGGCACCTAGGCGGGACCACCCCTCCTACTCCCGTATCCTAATATGGATAAAGGTTACAGTGGGTGAGGAATAGTACGTGCCTTGGGCAGGGCGTCCCCCACACCAAGGGCCATTAGTAGGACGTCTCCCACATCAGGCTGGTGCGCGTAACATTCGTCCCCCTCAGGGAGAGGGGCGTCCTCGTCCCAGTATAAGTGAATACGGGAGCAGAAACATTGTATGTATGTTGGTGGAACTGGCTGTGCGATTTGCCACATGCCCAGTTAACAAAACACAACACACAAAACAGTTTTGGATGAAGAGAAAGAGTGGTTGTTTTACATGACCGTCCCGGCCTTCACAACCCTCATTAAAACTCTTCCTCAGCCAAGTGGCTGGAAATGTTTGACCTCCCGGCCTTTCATCGGCGACCACGATGCCGAGTACCACCAGCAGCCCACGCCGGTACAGATCGGCCCGGTGCGGCACCCCGCCGTCGCCCACGTCCGCGTGCACGCTCAGGCGCACGGGGAAATGGCACGTAGGGGTCGGCGGTCTCCAACCTCTCCCCGTTGAGGATCGCAACGGACATGGCGTTCATGTGTCCAAACTGCGACCTTGCACGGGGGGCAGTATACCCAGTGTTTTTCTGGGCCCAGCGCAAGAGAACCTGTCAAAAGCATAAGCACACATGAGCATGTTTCAGTATGTACATCCCGTACTTCATGCAGTTTGCATTCGCATCACAGGTGTTCTGCCATTTTCAAATGCTTGAACCAATTCCTGTGCATTTGCAACTGACTTTGCTGATTCCCAGCTGTTATGCTCATGTCCATATCCCAGCCATTTGACAAGGTACTCAACATAGTTTTTGCGTCTCCCACGCTTTTTAATCCTTTTGTCAAGGATACGTTCAACTTCATACTCCAGTTCACCTTCGATCTCGATAGGTACTGGGGGTGGCTGTACTCTGCCACTTGCCTTATAAGGCTTAATCTTCGATACATGAAATACTGGATGTATCCTATGCATGCTTGTCCGGGAGTTCTAGTCGATATGCGACAGAACCTATCCGGTCGAGGATGGTGAAGGGCCCAATCCACCTCGGTAATAGTTTTCGAGTCCCAGGGTGTTTGAGAGTAATATGCTGTGTCGAAAGGAGGACGTCATCTCCTTTGCTAAACGACACCTCTCTTCGATGGCGGTCAGCATGCTTTGACTGCCTATCTCGTGCTTTCTCTAAGCACGCCCTGGCCTCTTTCAGCGCTGATTGGACACGGTGATCAAATCGTGTCACTGCTGGTAATCCCTCCACGAGGGGTGTACCAGACTGCCTCAAGTAAGGCTGTTGTGCCCTTTCAATGGCCACTGCCAAGCCGCGGGCATTCGGATTGTCATAGCCTTTTAAAGGCTTCCGAATTTGCACACCAAGAGCTAAGGGACTCTTTGGGTGCCTCCCGTAATTCAGATAGAACGGGGTTTCTTGGGTGGTACTGTTTTTCGAGTTGTTCATTGCAAACTCGGCCATGGCTAACAGTTCATCCCACGCGTCATG